TTTTTTTTTTTGCTTTTTGTTTTGTTTTTCTTGAATTTCCAGAGGACCAGGCTTAACTTTTTTAGATTTTTCTACCTGGATTATTGAGCATGTATCAGGTTATTAGAGTTCTTGGCAACATTACGATTCCCCTCACTCAAATAAAGACACAAAATCCAATAAATTAAAATCACAATTTTGTAACGTTTATTTTCAGTTGATAGTGTTATTTCAGAAGGGTATATAATATAAAATGTCTTAAAACTTTGAGATGTTATTCCATTTTGGACTAATGTTAAAATTTATCTCAGCTTCTTGAACTAAATTAAAGGTGTCTAAAAAGAACTAAGATGGTACAAAGTCATTCTTCTGCTCAAAAGAGGAGGTTTCGTCTCGCCAAAATGATGGTCTCATTACCCACGAAGGATACGAGGTGGAAAGGGCCCGTGGTCTGTTGTCCCAAGAATTGGTGATTCCCTCAGGACTCCGTTCCATCCGGCAAGAAAGCACCATCGCTCCGGGGTGTCGGAGAGGGTGTCTGTGGACTTTCTCCACATTTCTCAGCTGATGAGCCCCGTCCAGCATTAAGTGTAGAACCACCAGACTGAGGAGCAGCTTCTACCTTGAGGCTGTTAGACTCATGAATCTCTAACCAGAATAATCACTGTGAAAAAATCACATCATGCTGCTGCTGATCTATTTCATGCTGCTGATCTGTTTCATGCTTCTGTGTTCATTCACTTTATCTTCTCACACAGACTCATATTCGTGCTGCTGTTCTGCGTATTGATTTTTTTACTAGTGCTTGGCATATTTTTAGTTATACTTTTTCTTAGTTCATATCTTAGATCTTATTACTGTTTTTCTTTTACATTTTATTGTTGGATGTAACTGGGACCCTGTGTACACAGTTTTGTTCCATCACATGTACCACGTGGTGCGAATGACAAATAAACAAACTCTGACTCTGACTCTGTATTGTCTCCACAATACTTAATCATTTTTGATCATTTCTGGGTTTTTTTAAGAAAAACTTCTTAATCTTTTTTTATTTTTTAACCACAGAGGGAATTGTTCCACTTTTCAAAACTAATGGAAGAGACCAAAGGAAAGGAAGATCATCAGCATCACATTGAATTTGTGGAGAAGCTGATTGAAAATTTTAAAACCCACTTTGATGACTTCACGTTAGGAAAACAAGTCCTCCTGTGAATGAACAATTATTACACACATTCTCACCATGTTTGGCTCAACCTACAGCTGCGAATCATCCTTCTCAACAAAGAACTTCGTCAAGAACAAGCACTGCAGTCGACTCACAAATGAAGACTTGCATCATTGCCTTCTCCTGGCCGTCACTCCATGTGTGCCAGGGCTCAAAGTCTTAGAAAAAGACACGTCATTTCTTTTATTAGAGAGTACTTGTTTAACAAAATTATTCTATGGAGGGGATGATTTTTAATTGAATTGAAAAATATGTTAAAAAAATTTTAGCACGTACTTTAAATTTTGAATCCCTGAGTTCCTTGAATAACTTTAGACATACGTATATATACATATACATATATATACATATACACACACACATATATATATATATATATATATATATATATATATATAAAGTCTAAACCCCTCCTCATATTTTGTTTTCAATGTTTTTGTAGGAGTTTCTTTTTCAAGTATTAAAATTTATATTCAAATGAAAATGGCAGTTTATTCGTATACATAAAAGCCAATTAGTAAAGTTCTCTATCTAAGGAATTAAAAAAATAAAAAAATTCTAAAATACACGAAAACATCCCAGCAGATGATGGTTTGTCATGTGAGGTTTAAATAGGACCGTTTTAAGGACAATCACCGCAGAGGGAACAAATGCCTTTTTGTACCCATTGTTCTTTACCAGAGGAACCAGCAGTCTTCTGCCAGATGGCACCAACCTGAATAATGGTTGCAGTGGATGAGTTGGGTCATTGTAAACCTGGATTGTGTTTATGTCCAGAACCAGAGTGTACAGGTCTTTAAGTTTCATTTGTTCATGACCAATGATTTTACTTCCCAGTTTGACCACCTGGGACAACTTGTTCCAGTCTCTGGCTAGGAGGTTCCTTTACCATGAGACAATACTAAAAGGAAACAACACTTTCAACCAGTGACCTGTACCAAGTGCAGAGTCATTTTGTTGCATTAACGCTCGTTAGCTTATACAGAAGGTGGAGACACCTTGACGACTGAGAGGAGATGAAAGGAGGTCAGTTCTACAGGCAGCAGCAGCAACTGTCGGTGGAGGACTCAATTTTTAGACAAAAGAAGTTGCAGCCATTTATTTGACGCCTTTTAGGTGACCTGAACTCATCTGATGTCTTTTTCATGACTGAAAAAACACAGAAGAAACTAGTTTCTATTGAAGACCTGTTTCCTTTTCAGGAAGTTTGTAGCAGTTACCAAAGAATGACTTTGAAACTATCGAGGAACCAATCAGATGAAAAGATGAGTGAGAAGAAGTTCAATTCAGACATGGAGGAGAGGATAAGAGCCTCTGAGATACAAAGTAGATGCCGATCAGACCCTGGAGAACCCTTTGAGATACAGAGTTGATGACAATAAGAGCCTCAAAAACCTTCTGACATACAGAGTAGATGATCAGAGCATTGAGAACCCTTTGAGATACAGAGTAGATGCCAGTCAGACCCTCAAGAACTCTGTGTGATACGGAGTAGATGACAATAAGAGCCTCAAGAACACTCTGAGATACAGATTAGATCGATCAGAGCTTCGAGAACCCTTTGAGATACAGAGTAGATACCGATCAGGGCATTGATAAACCTCTGAGATACAGAGTAAATGACAATCAGAGCCTCAAGAACCCTTTGAGATACAGAGTAGATGCTGATCAGAGATACAAGAACCCTTTGAGATACAGAGTAGATGCCAGTCAGACCCTCAAGAACTCTGTGCGATACGGAGTAGATGACGATAAGAGCCTCAAGAACCCTCTGAGATACAGATTAGATCGATCAGAGCTTCGAGAACCCTTTGAGATACAGAGTAGATACCGATCAGGGCATTGATAAACCTTTGAGATACAGTGTAGATGATGATCAGACCCTCAAGAACCCTTTGCAATACAGAGTAGATGCTGATCAGAGCCTTGAGAACCCTCTGAGATACAGAGTAAATGACAATCAGAGCCTCAAGAACCCTTTGAGATACAGAGTAGATGCTGATCAGAGCCTCAAGAACCCGTTGAGATATAGAGTAGATGACAATAAGAGCTTCAAGAACCCTTTGAAAAACAGAGTAGATGCCGATCAATCAGAGCCTCTAGAACCCTTTGAGATACAGAGTAGATGCCGATCAGAGTCTTGAGAACACTGCCATACAAAGTAAATGACAATAAGAACCTCAAATACTCTCTGACATACAGAGTAGATGATGATCAGAGCCTCGAGAACACTTTGATACAGAGTAGATGACACTAAGAGCCTCAAGAACCCTCTGAGATGCCAAATAGTTGACGATCATAGCCTCGAGAACTGTTGAGATATAGAGTATATGATGATAAGAGCCACGAGAACTTTCTGAGATACAGAATAGATAATGATCAGTGTCTTGACAAAAGGCTCAACTCCGGTGTTCTTCACTGATCCCTCCCTTTCTTTTAAAAATCTGTTTTAACCGTCCAAAATCGCATTTTTGGACGGTTAAAATTAGCTAAGCTGAGAAGCTAAGCTACGAGCTAAGCTAACACATCGACCTCTGTCTTGCCGAGCTCCGAAATTCATGGTTTAAACCCGTGCCTTCATGTAAAAAGTTATTTTTCTCTGCAAAAAGAAGCTGAGAACTTGTTTACTGCTGTTTTATTAAAACACTTTGTGTGAAAAATGCTATGCTAAAGAGCTCAAACCACACCGAGCGTCCTCCATGTCACGTCAAGGGCCCTCCCTCGCATTTTTCTTAAAGACACGCTGCTCAAATATCCATCCTTTGGTTCAAACAGTACTGCCATCATGTGGTCACAAAAAGGTACTACACTCAAAACAAATAATTTCTTTTAAAATTTGACAATTAATTATTGTTAAATTTCAAACAATATTATCGTTTATCGCAATAATTTTTTTAGACAATTAGTCGCCAAGCAAAATTTGGTATCGTGACAGGCCTACGTGTACCATATAAAATCCATTGGTGGTCAGTAAGCACAACTAGAATTAATACGAGACGCACTGGATTATAAGGCTCACTGTTGATTTTTGAGAAAATTCAAGGATTTTAAGTGCACTTTATAGTCCGAAGAGTACGGTATATGGTTTACATTTGCAAACAGATTGCATTTGGCAACACTGTCAACCAAAAACTACATGACATATAAACTAATAATGATACATTTTTACTGGAAAAGCAGTACATATTAAAAAGTATTTGGGCGACCAAACAAATGGAACTATTTATTCATTCAACCTTTATTTAGACAGGTTAATCCCACTGAGCCTCGAGGACTCATTTACAAGAGAGACCTGATTTCAACATTTAGCAAAACACTAAAATTATGCAGCTAATATAAACTTCCTAATCTCTGTAATTAAAGCTGAGTTTTATATATATCTGATGCTCGCTGTTATTTTCTACGCAAAATAAATAATTCTTCACACATTGAATATAGTCTTGAGTAATAATCCCAGATTAAATGACAGAGTTAAGGTCAGTTTGAAGCTTTTTATGCTTGTTTTAGTCTTTAATTTAAAAATGCTAACAGACATCTTGATTATAGTGAAGGCTGTAAGGTAGATTAACACATATAAAACATTATTATGATCCATCCATCCATTATCTTTTACCTGCTTTTGCCATTTTGGGTCACGGGGGTCATGTTATTATGCTATTCTGGTAAAAGTTTATATGTGTTATTCATAAATTAATTTATCCTTCTAACAAAATTACATTTGAACACAACCTTCTCGCCATAAAGCGCTTAATTTTTATTTTTTTCTGGCGTCGTTTCACAATAAAAGAGCTTGAGCTGCGATAATAAACATGTTTCTGTTTTACGGACTCCTTTCGGGTCATTGAATGCAGCAGGGCTGTAAAAATAAAGGAGCGCAGCGCGCGCCTGTCAGCAATAAACTAATTAACAGTGTTTTTCCTCGACTATGATACAGTTTACAAGGATACTGCAGATTCTTCTCGTTTTTATTTCTTTCTGGGACGTTTCTTTAGCTGGAAACACGTTTTCTGTGGATGGACTGGACATCCGGTGTGGAGAAAGCGGAGTGTCGGTGACCGTGAAGCGGCGCTTCTTCAAACGAAGACGGGTTCCGTTCAGACCCGAGTTTCTGACACTTGGAGACGGTTCTCTTCAGAGGAGCTCCTGTGGACCACAGAGACCGGTGTCTGATACCGAGATGGTTCTGTCTGCGGGACTTCAGGACTGCGGGACCGAGTCCAGGGTAGGAAGGAACACCGACAGAGACCTGGGGTGGGGGGGTCTTAATGAGGTTCGGGTCATAATTAAATCAATAAAAGTTCTGCTGACCGTGTGTTTAGCGCTCTCTGCCGGACTAACTGCACAATTACAACTTTTTATTATTATTATTTTGTTGTTGTTGTTGTTGTTGTTGTTGTTGTTGTTGTTGTTGTTGTTGTTGTTGTTGTTGT